AGCTAGATAAACTGCCTGGCTTTTAATTTTCCTTTGAGTGTGTGTGTGTGTGTGTGTGTGTGTGTGTGTGTGTGTCTGTGTCTGTGTCTGTGTGTGTCTCTGTGTGTGTGTATGTGTGAGTCTGTGTGTCTGTGTGTCTGTGTGTCTATGTGTGTATATCTATGAGTGTGTCTGTGTGTATGTCTGTGAATATGTGTGTGTGTGTGTGTGTATGTGTGTGTGTGTGTGTGTGTGTGTGTATCTTTCTCTGCCCATGTGTATCTCTTCTCCTTCTTTGGCTGTGCACTCAGGTCTCTGCATCACCATCTTCCTTTATACAAATTCTCAGAGACTCACCCTGAAATTTCCAAAGCTCCTCAACCAGACATTGGGCCTCCTCCTGAATCCGCTCCTCCACACTCCACTTTGCCATCCCAAAGTCTCTCATAGTGGCCAGAGAGAATCGCCTAAGGGTCTTCCAGCATTCCCCATTGGCATGCCACATGTGTGTGGGTACTCCCAGAGGTTAGAGAAAGACACCAGATCCTCTGGAGCTGGATTTATAGCAGTTCTTAGCTGTCAGATACAGGTGCAGGGAACCAAACTGGGCCCTTTGGAAAAGCAATGAGCATTTCTAACCACTGACCCATCATTCCAGGACCATAAACCTCATTACTTTATAAAAGATCGAGCCTCTTGCATGTTGTTACAACAGCAGAACACAGACAAAGACACATGGAGATTCTTTCTTGTTGGCTTAGGTGGACCATTTTATGTCTTAACATTCTTGCCTTCAGTCAAGCCTGGTCCTATGTCTCCTCCATCACACCCCATTTTCATTCACCTGAGACTATTTCTTCCTTACCTGCCCCCCCTCATCTCCTTGGAAACAGCTTCTTTCCCCATTTATTCTCCCTCCAGAAAGTCTTAGGGAGTCTGATCAGATCCTACCTCTTACGTAGACCCTAATGGACTCTCGGATGACCTTAAAGCTCAGTTTTGGGGGAGACTGGACTTAGGGTTTAAAAGCGCATGCTGTTCTTGAAGAGGACCTGGGTTCAGTTCCCAACACCAGTGTGGTACTCACATCATCTATAACTCATTTCAGGGGGGATCCTACACCCCTTTGAGCACCAAGCATGCATGTGGTACAAATGCATACATGCAGGCGACACTCATACACGTAAAATAAAAATAAACCTTTAGGAGGAACGTCATTTTGCTTTGCCTGCATTCTGTATCACACAGGTGGACAGGTAACTTAGCTAATTAACTTTTGTATGTTTTTTTATTATTATTAAGAAAATTTTTTATTCATTTTACCAACCACATATCCCCTCTCCTCCCTCCTCCTGCACCCCCAGCCTTCCCTCCCTAACTCACCCCCCCCATTCCCACCTCCTCAAGACAAGGTCTCCCATGGGGAGTCAGCAGAGCCTGGTACATTCAGCTGAGGCAGGTTCAAACCCCTCCTCCCTGCACCAAGGCTGTGCAAGGTGTCCCACCATAGGCAGTGGGCTCCAAAAAGCCGACTCATGCACCAGGGACAGATCCTGATCCCACTGCCTGGGGGCCCCCTAAACTGTTCAAACTAAATGACGGTCTCGCCTATCCAGAGGGCCTAGTCTAGTACCATGGGGGCTCCACAGCTATTGGTCCACAGTTCATGCATTCCCACTAGTTTGTCTGGCAGCCTCTGTAATTTTTCCCACTATGATCTTGATGACCTTTGCTCACAGAATCCCTCCTCTTTCTCATCAATTGGACTCCTGGAGCTTGGCCTGGTGCCTGGCCATGGATCTCTGCATCTGTTTCCGTCAGTCACTGGATGAAGGATCTATGATGACAGTTAGAGTTCACCAATCTGATCACTGGAGTAGGCCACTTCAGGTACCTGCTCGACTATTACCCGTAGTCCAAGGTGCGGGTCATCCTTGTGGGTTCCTGGAGACTTCCCTGGCACCCTGTTTCTCCCTATTCTCATGATGTCTTCCTTTATTATGGTATCTCTTTCCTTGCTTTCCCACTCTGTCCCTGTTCCACCTTGAACATCCCGTTCCCCTATGTTCCCATCCTTCATGCCTTGCCCTCCATTACACACCCTTGTATGTTTATTCTACATCTCAAACTAGTCTGTCAGCTCCCGGGTGTCAGGAATGCAGCTCTGCTGCTCAATGCTGCCACTATCATTCTCGCAGGGGAACATAGGACTCTTTATTGTTCAAAATATATAGTTACAAAGACAACCAACCATCACATCAGAGCTGGTATATCCTGGAATTTCCTGCTGTCTGCATATTTCCTAGACCCTGTGTGTTCATATCATTAACATCACTGTCCCTGCAGGGGAAAGATGCAGCATTTCACACTGAGACAGAATGCTACCACCCCTCACTGTGGGTCTGTGGGCAGTTAGTGCTGCTGGGGGAAGGTGCCGATTTCTGTAGTGGTGTAGTCACTCATGAGATGTTCACAGTCCAGGAAATGGGGCCACCCACGCCCAAGCAGGAGTCAGCATCTCGAATTTTTCTCACTCTAGATACACGCTGGTAGCAAAAGACCATGGGAGTATACAGCAGGTGACAACTAGAGTTCAGAAGGTCAACCTATCAGAACTAAGGGTTCTGTTAGAGGAAACCATCACGAAAGGCATGATGGAATTACTGCCTTTTGAATGAATTGGCTTTTTCTTGTTGTAAACTTCTTGTGCAATAACAGCTATGATTCTCCCCATTTACTGTGCATTTCCATGTTATGTATACATGTAACCTCATGATTGCATTTCAGTCTTATGGGCACAACTTCCCTTATACACTTGGGCTAATGGATAACTATCCCCCCCACCCCCCGCAGCTTTGTTTATTTTTCATTAACATAAATCTGGCCAGACAAAAGTACTTCAGCTAAGATACCTTTTTATCCTAGGACAAAAGCAGGTAGATAAACATTAGCTCATCTCATCCACAGATAGAG